AAATCTGCGGTGAAGTTGAATTCCTATCAGAGACGCTCTTGATGGATACTTCTCACATAAGGGAAAGCCTAGTTGGGGTGAGTTACAAATGCATTGACAAGCACTTCTAAGAAGGAAATGTGTGAAAAGACTGTAAGTTCCAATCAACAGTGTGAAAGAAGGCTAATTTGGGGGATTTGCTGGACAGATGAAAATATACGTGGACAAGTACTTGACTAAGAAGAAATAAATATCTGTAACTGTGGTGGTTTGCTTTTTTCTTCTCCAAGCTTTGCATGTCATACTGGGTATAGGGACAGCACTGAAAACTCAGCAAGGTCTGGTTTATTACTGTGTGGGAATTCTCTTCATGCACATTAATGATCAAAAGAGTTGTCTCAAGTGTAATGGGCCTGTAAGTACCATTAGTGCAGTAGTGCTAAAAATAACACTTGAGTAACCATGCCACAAGTAACCAGTTGTTCCTCCTGTAATGTTTACTGGTTCCTTTCATTAAATGTTCATTCTTCCCATATTTGTAGAATAATATTTTGATGCAAAAAAAGCAAAACCATGCATAATGTATCTTCATTTTATAGAGTATTCATATATTGATAATTCAATTTATTTGATCAGTTACTGACAGCACTTTTTTAGAGTATATCCAAATTCTTCATTTAGGGGTTCAAATCACCACAAAGGCTAAGCACAGTTGTATAAAAGAACTGAACTCTCTCCAAAGTACCCATGTGTGAAATCTTGGTATGTTAAGCATTTCTGGCAATTTGATTATAAAATTGTTTTTAATTAGTGCTTGTTCTAAGCCCAATCACAGTGAGTGTTAAAAAGTTAAATAACTGATAAAGAGAAAACTTGATGCCTCAATCAAGTACAGATGTTAAAACAGAGAAAATGACAAATAGGATCATTATCAGAAAGAAGTCAATTATTTCGCCTGTAATGAACAGCAATTCTAGTATTGCCTTTCTAGAACAATTTTCATACAAAGAGTTTCTTTCAAGTCAATCAAGCAGCAAGACATCTAAATTTAAATCTTCATTAGTACACTGAAGTTAATTATATTAGGATTATTTTAGAGCTGTTGATGTGAACCTCATATTTGGAAGTTTATTATTTTTTGTAATTTTGTACCTGAAAGTTGCAGAATTTGGTAGCAGTTCATTAATATCAGTATTTACTGAACATGCACCCTGCATGGCATATTAGCACAGCACAGCCATACTGTGTGTATTAATATCTTAAGTCAAATATATTAATATTCTCTCTTAAAACTGATGAAATTAAAACTTCAGGTCTGAAGAAGCTGTATTTAGCATGCCTTGCAAAATCCCTCTTTTGATATGTATCAGTTTTTAATGAAACCTTCTCATGGAAAGGAGATTGCAGCATTGCAGATGTCTTTGTCATGTGCCTATCTTTTAGGTGTCCACAGCTCACAGTTGTTTATTGCTGATTATCTTTATACTGATTGTCAGGTTCTGTGTGCTCTCTCTTGATTTAAGAGGCTTGCCATAGTTACAGAGCCTTTGATTCTATGGTAATGACTCAATATTCATAGCTGCAAGCAGATTCCAATAATTATCCTATTTTTACTACTGCTATAAATATCTGGTTTGCTCAATAGCAAATCATTGGTCAAGTTGCACTTATGACCTGGTTTTACTGTCTATAATTTCTTTCCACAAGAAAATATTTTTACTTACTTTAACCTTATTTCCAGGATATGGAATATTTTTTACATTTGAAGTTGAATCATACCTACAGTACAGGTACTTAAATCACAGCTACATTAACTCTGCAGAACTGAAGGATGACTTTGGAATTAACTCGTGGTAGTGGGTTGCTCTACTGAAACTGCTAGTTTTCAATGAGTAACCTGTTATCAAAAGAGAAGTTTATATATATAACAGTTTTTGTTTTGAGTGAATTAATTCTGAATTTCAAAGTTTAATTTCTGGCAACAAAGCATAGACGATATTAATCTGTCTCTTTGTACACAGCTAAACGGGAATGCTGATAGTTTCTGCCTTTTGGTATTTTTACCAGTGTTAGTGACAAGAAAGCACTGCATGTCTGCTTCCAATTTTATGTAAAGCTTTTTTTGATCAGGATTTGATTTGGCAATTAATTATGTAGTCATACTTTTTTATTTATTGCAATAATACTGTGCAAGTGGTCAACTACAATAACAAGTTAGAGCTGGAGACAACTTCTTGTTTCAAAGTAATTAATTTGTTTCCATATAGAGATTTGTTTCTATATACAGAGTTAATAAATTCAATAATTTTGATTTACTAGTTCTCACTTCTATGAATTCTTTAGACAGAAGAGGTTTTTGTTTGTGTTTTGCTAATTGATTTCCTTGCCTTTCATTATGTTTATTCAGGTAGAATGCCTTATACTATTGCTCATTCCCCTTGTATTTGATACCTCCTGATTTTTTTAAAGCATTTTCCTATTTCTTCATATTACTGCTCTTCATTATGTTTTCCATCTCCAAATTCAACAAATTCTCCCCGTGTATTCAGAATACAAAAAACTATATCTCTTCTTTTCTCTTAATCAATAGTTACGCATTATTAGGATAATAAGACAATATTTCTGTGTATGTAAAAGTACACATGGATTTTATTTCAATATATAAAAGTTCATAATTTGCTACTCACTAATGTGAGCAGTGTATTGATCCTTGCTAGATGCCAGGTGCCCACCAAAGCTGTTCTATTACAACTCTCCTGAGTTGGACACCAGAGAGAAAGTATAACTGAAGACTTGTGAGCCAAGATAAGAACAGGGAGAAATTACTAACCATCATGGGTAAAACTGACACCTCAGGAAAATTAATCTAGTGTATTACCAATCAAATCAGAGTAGGATAATGAGAAAGTAAAACACTCTACATTCTAAGACATTTTCCCCCCACCCTTCCCTTCTCTCTGGGCTCAACTTCACTCCCAATTCTCTAACTTCTCCCCAAGTGGCACAAGGGGATGGGGAATGGGATTGTCTCTGCTCCTCCTTCCCCCTCAAGGGGAGGACTGCTCACTCTATTCCCCTGCACCAGTGTAGGGTCCCTCCCATGGGACACAGTCCTCCACTAACTTCTCCAATGTGAGTACTTCCCATGGGCTGCAGTTCTTCACACACTGCTCCAGAGTGGGTCCCTCCCATGGCGTGCAGTCCTTCAGGAACAAACTGCTCCAGCATGGGTCCCATGCAGGCTCACAAGTCCTGCTGGCAAGCCTGCCCCAGTGTGGGCTCCTCTCTCCACAGGACCACAGCTCCTGCCAGGAACCTTCTCCAGTGTGGGTTCTCCACTTCTGTTACTTTAGCTCTTTTCCTTTTGGTTAAAAAAATTGCAGAATTGCAGTTTATCCATTTCCAGACTGACATGCAAAACCTTTATTTATTTATCTTTTATACTTCAATGGTTAGTGAATAACATCCTGTTTCAAACAGAGATAAAATTTCCCATGTGAAATTGGTGCAATAGATGATTGCCTCCAGAACTATGTTACACTGGCCCTTATATGTTTTATCAGTGAGTATGCGAATAAACGTAGCAAGTAGCTGATACTCAACAACATTATATTAATGTCATGTAATGATGATGTGCTTAGGTTATTTTCCCTTTATGTACACATGTACCAGGCAGTACAAAGCAGTTTGCACCTAAACATAGGAGGAAGAAGTTATTTATGAATTAGATTGGTTCATATATACTTGGACCTAAGGCAATTAAATAAATATGAACACTCAGTTGAAAGTATTGAACATTCTTGGAATCATAAAATGGACTGAATTAATGAGATTTTGCTTAGGTCCTTGCTGAACATTTTCCAGGAAGAAAAAGAAGAAAAAATCTGGAGTAGAAAACCAAACAGTATTATACTGTTGGAATATGCTCATGGGAAAAGCATAACAGGTTTATGAGAGATACTTTTTTCAGTTCCAGGTGGATCTCTCTAAGTATTCTTTACTTGGTTACTGTCTTCAGAACAAAGTCAGTTATATTAGTTGTCATAGCCACCAGGAACTCTCTGAAGACATATTTCTGCAAAACATTATAATCAGATTAAGAATTGCAACTCTTCAATTTCTTATCATCATATTTTAATTTTATCCTTACAAAATTTGTGAAAGCTTCTTCAAAATTGCTATATATACAGCATTTTTTTTGTTTTTCACAGAGGGTAAGGCACCTTGGGACAGCAAATTCAGCTTTTTCAGTTAGATACAGACAGTCACTCTAATACAAGATTTTTTTTATAAGCCTACCTAAAACATCCGTGTGCTAGTCTTTTAAGTGAGTCTAACTTGGAAGGCTTTTGCTTAGATCACTTATGCCTTCTATTATCCCAATGTATGATTAGGCCCAGGATGTAAGAAGGTGTTGTGTGGCCCTAATTTGTATATTTATGAAGGAATCATGTTTCTTTAATACAGAACTGTGAGTGAAATCTGATGTCAATTGAGTCATCTTTACTTTCATCATTTCTCAAATAGAAATCTTTCTCAAGCCCAAACTCTCTAAGTCCATGGTAGTTTCCTACCCCAAATTTTTAAATTGAACTTTGGTTTAATTTTTAGTTGTGGACATTTCTATTTTAAATATATTATACACAATAGTTGCAATATAATTTTAATTAAAAATACAATAATTAATTTTGTTATTCTAAGAGGAAAAAAACAGTTTTATTAGTTTTATTATTAATGTCTCTTACAACAAGTAAATTGTAAACTTGGGTATTTGATGATTATAAATCTCCAGTTTGGTTCATGATATTTAATTTCTATACTTTTAAAGCATAACTATAGAAACTATATCTGTACTTAAGCATAACAACAGGAGTCAACTTTGTGTATGTATGTTTTATTAGGAAACCCAAGAAGACATGACAACATTCTTGGTCAAATTCCATCTTTTATCACTACTACAGGTATTGTAGGAAGGCAAAAGGTGCAACTTCAGAGTCACTGAATATTGCATTTCTTTTTAGATTATCGACATAATGAGAGAGATCTTCAAAGTTCAACACTATCAGTACCAGAACAAGTTATGTCATCTAATCATTGTTCTCGATCAGGTTCCCCTCACCGTGGAGATAGTATAGGACGGACTAGATCGTGGTCTCCTAGTGTCCCTCCCCCACAAAGGTAAACTGCTATTTAACTAAGCAATTATATAAATTTAAGTGGTATTGATCCTGTACCAATACTGGAAAGAATCTCTGGACTTTCAAAATGGCAATGAATTGGTTAGGTCTTGCAAAATTATGTGAAGCCAATAATTGTTTTTCTTTCATTATACTGGTGTGCCTTATTTTATACTGGTGTGCCTGATTTATGCCTAATTTGTCTCATTTAAGTTCTATCATTACTGTATTATTCTTATTACTATTATATGATTATGTAATTGTATTTTATGCCTATTTTTATCTAATTTTTCATCTAAAATCAGTACAGTCCAATCTAAGGAAAGCAAAATATTTCTCCATATTTTAATTTTCTAGATCTGTTTAGAAAGTGCCATGTTTTATAGGATGTGATGGTTTGATGTTTCCTTAGCATTTATTTGAAAGTGGATGTTTTCAACCCTTTTGTTTGTGTTGAATTCAAGTTCTGGGAGAGCCACACTTTCTGCCCATAGCAGCTTGCTTTCTATGATTTTTTCATACTTTTAAGCCATCAAGAATAAACTGACAAACATACAATTTTATACTGAAAATGTTAAATCCTGATCTTGTGAAATGAAGGTCAGGAAATTTCTTCCAAAAACTAGCCCTTTTGATAATTACTACTGCTTGATTGAATATCCTGTTTAAGCAAGGATTAAGAATTCTCCTGCAGGATAAGCTTTCTTAAAAGGAAGCAGAAGGACAGGTGTAAATGAGAATGAAGCCTGTTTTCTAGCACTTATGTTGTTATCTACGGGTAGGTTTTCAGATGATGTAATTAAGTTGGAATTAAAGGGGAAGTTATTTCTTTTGCCCATAATGTTCATAATTGCCCTTTAGTATTGAAGATCTGGTATGCAATATTTCCTGCCAGGTGTCTCCCTTTCTTCATCAGCCATTCTGATTCTCTTGTGTTCTGCTTTCCTTTCTGTTGCCTTTGTTCTTTTTGCTAGCTTATAATTCTCTTGACTTCACACTTTCATACTAATGTTTTACTTAGCATTTCCTCTAACAGATATAGGCTATATGATACCCTTTTGCATCAGTGAGGTGTTAAGATCCCAAATTATCCCATATCACCTCAGACAATTAACACACAGAAACTGTTTCTACTTGAAATCTAAACCTATATAAAACCATACAGAATGAAACATAAATTGTAGACACAAAGGGGCCTATTCTGATTTCTACTATACTGATTTCAGCCTAATTAAATGCCTATGCTAAATCTCCAGGGGTTATTTGTCTTGGATACAGACATAAATGTGAACAAAATCTCTTTGTGTGTGTGTGTTTTAATTTCTGCATGCATGCTGTGTGTATTTTGGGCAGAAGTTGTACCCAGGCTAGTAATTAACACTTGCTCAACACCATTGAAAAACCTTCTTTTCATTTTCTTGTAGTTTTCCATTTCTTCAGATGTTCAAAATGTTTCTTGCTTTTTGACTTTCCTAAAGCTAAATTTTTAAATATAGTTTTGAATTTATTCCAGCTGTTTCCTACAATGTCAGAATCAAATACATTATTTATGTAATATTTCTCTGCCCACACAGCAAATAATTTCTTTGAGGACTAGTAGAGCTCAGAGGATTGGGTTACCAGAACTTGAGGGTTTGTAGAAAGGAAACATGATCCATGGGTTACAGAAATGTCTTTTTTTAATCTGCTGAAAATGAAGCTGTACTCAGGAAACTTGTAAACATTGTTAATCACATTTGTATCCTCTTTAGCTGAGTTTGTTGAACATGAGCTGCTATACAGGTGTCCCAGCTGCAGTAAACATGCTGCATACCCAGAGATTTCCCAGTTACTGACTGATATCTCTGCAGGCAGCTCTTGGACTGTAGAAGTTGCTGTTACAATTTATAAGCCATTTTGCAGTTCTGGGTCCTTCTACTGAACTTTGTTAATAAACTCTACCAAAAGCCCACTGCATAGTAGCTGACAAGAAATTATTACTGCTCTTGTAGTTTTTTTCAGCTAATATATTTAATGGACTGTTATTCTGTCTGTAGATCAGAATGGAATTTAGACTGTGGCAGGCACTGAACAACATCAGCTTTAGCTTTTTCTAGGAGTGGGCATTTGAAAAAGCAAGGTGAAGAAAGTAGCTAGGCTGAAATTGTGTAATAAATCCAGTAGGATGCTCATTTTTCTCTGCTATCACCACCTGCAATTGCAACTTTTCACCTGCTTACCTATTAGCTAGTTGCTCGGTATGTGTTCTGTCAACTGCAACAAAATTTCAAAGGGGTAAAGACATCCCATTTTCTGTTAAATAGTAAAGCTGGCTGACAAAGGCATCCTTAGCAGAGAGAAATGGAAGTGAAATAGTAGTAACACTTTGAAATAGAATAAATGCAGTTGTATAGGATATTTAAAATCAGCATGAGATCAGAATCTGATATAATACAGAAATTTCAAGAAAATAATTATTTAGAACAATAAGCTAGTACACAATCTTATCAAAAGTGATTTTAGCAGACAGGTTGGTACTGAGTTTTCAGGGCTGTCTTATAACCAAAGTTTAGGCAGGAATTTTGATTGTGTGGGCAGTCAACCCAGATATCTGGGAAGTTTTACAAAGAAATGATAACTTGAGAAAGCTTAAATATTTATGTCAAAAGAGGAGACAAGTAAAAACGAAAAAAGAAAAGAAAGAAAAAATAGAAAGAAAAGAGAGACCCTGGGGGAAAGGCGCAGAAGAAACTAGAGTTCAGACAGGAAGAATGATAACTGCTTGTTGGGAAAAGTAAAAAAGTTAACAAAGGACTGCAGAGGAACCCTGTCAATGTCCATTTTAAAGTACAAATACACATGAAAATGTCCAATGGCAGGTAAAGGCTATACTGGATTCTCCATCTTTTTTTTTTTTTTTTTAGAAATAGAGGGGGTAAAAGACATACAGAAAAGTTGTTGCAGGAAGGGAGAAGAATTATACTCTTAATATGGCAAATATAAAGTTTACTAGCCAGAGTAAACTTTATATTTTGTTTCATGAAAGCCAGAGTGGAAAAATTCTTTATGACAAATGAAGTGTAGCTGAAGGCAAAAGTTTATGTGTAGAGCAACATCTTCATGGCACTTATAAGCAGGAATAAAGAAGAGCATGTCAGCAGCAGTGAAGGATACACATACAGGTTAACACTAATCAGGAATTGGTAAGTGACAAATGATAAGGATGACAGGTACCAAAAGGGTAGACAAAGTGACAAGACAGGACATAAGAACTAAGTGATATAAAACCTCCCCAAAATGGAGTCTGGCATTAGTGCAGACTGCAGTAAAGGGCAGGAAGCACAAGAATTTATCGGTCTAAAATTTGAATTTGTGTGGAGAGAGGCATGCAATCTGTTACTTTTAAATCTGTACAAAACAATTATGCTTTAATTATCCAATAATTATTGCAGTGAACTGCTATCTTCTATCTTTCTATTCTTGTGGATTTGTAATACAGAGCAGAAGTGAAGTTAGTGTGTATCAGTATCGATAGTTAAACTGAGTGAAGCAGTTGTTGGGCAAAGCTTTGTTCTCAAATAGTCCAAAACTGTAAAGGTGATTGGTGCTCTTCAGTGAAGCCTGATGTGTTCCACCTACATCTAATTAAACAGTTCTGTCTTTTTCAGATTCTACACTAGTGAGATTACAGAAAAGTTTGCCAGGGCAAAACAAGCAGCTGTTGTTTAATTCAGATGACAATGTTTTCAGCAGGCTGCAGTCAAAAGTCCCCTTTGTGTCTTACTACAGTTTATATCTTTATACTGTAGCCAAAATCAAGAGCTCATGAAAAATTGTTTACAGTATATGTTTCAGCTAGAAAGGAATTTTTCCTTGAAGGTACTAGTTTGGGAAGTCTAATGAAGTTTTGTCTAAAATGAACAGTTATAATTAAAAAAAGTTATTCTCTCATTTCCAGAACAAACAAACATTGAAACAAAAGGAGAAAAATATCCCTAGCATGGACTTGGCACCTTTTTCTAAAGGAGAAAATATTTTATTATGTGATTTAAAATTAATTGAGAGTAAACATATACAAAAGACAGGTCAGCTACTAGATCTGATTACCAACATGTTTGCTAATAACTGTCTGTACAAACCAAAAATGTGGTTCCGGCACACTCAAAACTCAGAATCTGATGTCTTTTATCCTTAGTCGGAATGTGGATCAGGGACCACGAGGAACTCGATCTACTCCTGCGCATTACAACACCCTGAACCGAATGGATAGACACCGTGTCGTAGATGACCACTACTCCCCGGACAGAGAGAGGTAAATATCTGGCTGGAATTAGAAACAGTCCTCAACATGAGTTACGTCAGCATGGTAACTCGCTAAAGTAAATAGCAAAATGACTTTCCTAATCCCAGAGATTAGCATTTCCCTACTTGTTTATCCACTGGTTACATGACATACATTCAAATATGAACAGTGCAAATAAGGCTGACAAAACTGTCTGTGACTGGATCTTTGCCAGGAGGGAGTCTGAAAATATCTGTAAGAAAAACACACAATATAAAATAAGAATAGTTTAGTTGTCCTTTTTTATATAAATAATTTAATGCATTATATTAGTAACTTCTAAAAGTGTTGATTAGCTTTAAAAGAAATCTAGCAGTAGACTTGTTCATTTTTGCTGCTGAATAAAGAGGCATAAAAGCGGATAATTTCAGCTCAGTATTACTGTAATGCTCCCATTGGATACAGTGCAAGTCACAGATGTAATAAAAGTATATTCTAGTACTGTGTTTGCCTTTGCTCAACCTTCTAAGTCACTTTTGCAAAAAGGAAAAAAAAAAGATTAGGGCAACATGTATGAAATTGGAGTCTTTGTATTTAGAGACACATTTGACTGTGACTAATGTTTTACCATGTTTTGCCTAATGGAACTTCCCAAAGAGTGAGCAGCAGAGCTTTAGCAACCTCTATGAATTTTAATGATGTGAAAAAGAATTGCAGCAATAGTTGAATAACATAGTTAATTTAGCTGAATTAATTGTGGTAATTACTTTGTGATATTAAAAAAATATTGGTCTTTTCTACCTCACTGTCTTCAGGTTAGGAAATCAAAACAAAAAGCATTTATTACCTTTAAATTTTTAAATTTTCCTGGTTCTTGTACACCAGGTTGAAAACCTGCACTTTATAATGGGAGTCATGATTGCTACAAATTGTCTCATTTCATAATTGCAGAGAGCAAGGAATAATGCAGATATAATTTTTAATCTTGAGTGATATGTGACTAGCATTTGAAGTTAAGACTTTTAAAGATGACCATTACAGGTCATTTCTCAATGATATCAAAACACTTAATTGGGGTTCCTAACGGTAATACAAAGAATTTAAGAAATCAGTGGCTTTTTGTGGCAATATTGAACAGAAAAGGTAAATATGTCTTAAAAGAACAATATTATGATGGTCAATGATTGTATGGAATGCAAGAAAATATTCTTCGAAGATTATAATGTTTTTTTTATTTCAGATGAAAAAATAAAAATCGTTTCTAATTAGGTAAGTTAGAAAAGAAGAGTAGCAAAAGGAATGTAAAATAAAATCTATTAAAGTGATTTGCAATTTAACTTGGCCAAAAAAAGTCAAATGGGAAAAACATATTGAAAAATCAGTCACATATTTATTATTCAGAAATCTAACTGCATTAATTGCAAGTATAGTAGATCATAAGTGCACCTCTTTATTAGCATTAAGCTATTTAATATTTCTATTTAAGCTATGGAAAAGAAAACCTGTTACGTTGGCTCATGAGACTGTCTGATTTTCATACAGAAGGCAGTAATTTGAGGATTCTGAGCTTTTCCTTAAAAGAAAATAACAGAATGCTTTTGGGTATAATATATGTTGATTTTTAGAGAAATATCCTTGAAGTAGGATCTAAACCTGTCCTTAGAGCCTGTATATGCCTTATGGAATGCTGCTGGGTTTGTTCACTGTACAAGTTCATTTGCTGCCTCCCAGAAGAATGCATAGCCATGAAAGGTTACTTGAAGTACAGTACCACAATCGTTCCCCATCATTTCAATCAAATAACCCCTAATGGACAGACTTGATTTAGAGAAAGAGAATTAGTGGTTTAGAGTATGTCAGAAAAGCAATGTCAGAAAGTTGTTTGTGCTGAGATTGTTCAATTTTCACATGACCATTCTAGATTAATAGCTATTTGCCGGTTAAGTGTGCTCTGAATCTCTGAACACAGGTTTATATGTTATCTGTGTTTTCCAAAACACAGGAGAAGTTCTCTTCATACATGGTGAGTGGTTGCCTGTGTAATCAAACTGTTGACTAGTTATGCCTGTATTGCAAAATACAGTCCCTGAAGAATATTGGTTTTAGCTAACACTGAAGAGAACAGGAAAATACTATTTCCAAACATTTATCATGTTTTATATTCATTGTTAATTTGACAGTGGTTTTATGAATGGAAAGATTATTAGACTTCAAATTTTGTTAGTGAATATTTGTGATATGGTCTCTGTTACATAATGAAAATCCAGTGGTGTCCCTAAAGTTACTCTTTAACAGTATTGATGTGAAAACTACTAGGCACCTACAAGGAAACAAGAGAGAGAAGGCAAGGTGAATTGGGTCCACTATCTGTTCATCATGGCTATTGCATGGTTTCACTTTTAAAGAGCAAAAATTATCTGTTGTGTGAAATAATGGGGTAGTTGTAGGCATGGCTGTTTAAAGAAATATTCTCCATGATCTTTTAATCACTTCAAAGATGTTATCTTGATGTGCCGAGACTGGTACAACTATCAGACCACTATTACTGAGAGGAGGTTTCATTCACACATTTAAATACACACTTTCTGCTGAACTCTATGTTTGTTTCACTCTATTGGAAGAGGGTGCTTTGTTTTTCTTTAGCATAAAGTGAATGTCAAAATACATACCAAAAAATCTGTTCACTATGATCAAACCAGTGAAGATCAAAATAATTCACTGCATGTGCTACATATTAGCTAAAATGCCATTTAACTAGCTGCTTCTACTACCTAACACAAAATTAAATATGGGCAAGAGTAATATATGGTCTACATTTCTAAAAGTCACCTTACACTGCAGTAGCTTTAGCTAACAGTAGCCAGCTCCTAATCCAGTATTGTTAATATGTAGGTGCCAGATTAGGTCAAACTAGAAAGAGTTTTTTTAGACATTGAACCATACCACAAACCAGAAAAAACAAATGATTTTTTCACATTCCTTATTAATTCCTTATTAAATACAGTGCTGAATAATATGTAGTTAAGTAATAATTTATTTAGTATTAGGCAATATTTAGTTATTTTTATATATTATTTAGTTACTATTTTGCAGTAAAATAATTTTAATATAAATTACAGGTACAAAGATATTGTAAAGTATAAAGTGTGTCTGATGTTACCTTTATGTGGAAATTCTAGGATAATATTTTCAATTTTTGGTTGTGTATGCCATGTGGGTACATACCCACATGTGAGTATGCAATGTCATTGCTGCTTCACTTCTTCAAACTCCCAGTAAAGGAAAAGAAATACATTGCTGGAAATTTGCTTAGAGCTGTGTTGTAAAATGTTTGCATCAACTTAAATCTCAATAATTGTGGTGTTTCTATAAGTTCTTTTTCTCCTTTCAAATCACTGTTAAATTGCAAAATTATCTGCACCACACACCTGGTGCTTCCATGCATCTGCTGAAGGATGGTAATCTCCAGGAGAGGGATGGAGTAGGAAGGTGGCAAGAGAAGTACAGTCTTGCAAGTGTAGCTACACCTGTAAAAATTCATGATTCAGAGCCTTGACCCAAATTAAACAAAACAACAACAAAAAGTCAGAGATACATTCCTCAGAATAAAAGGCACAATTAAAATGCCCATCTTAGAAATAATGTAGTTCTGATAAAAGGCATCAGCCCTTTGGAGCAAGAACTTAGAATACAGTATGGGGAGCACTGTGATAATGTGATACTGATTTTCTTATTGAAAGTCATCTTGATTGAATACGTGTCAGTTCACAAATTCTCTGGTGATAATTGCTATTGTTTCACATTTAAAGTCTTCGATATGTTAATTGCAGTCAATTGGAATATTTCTAGGATTTCATCCATACTGGGAGATAAGCATGAATTTCTATACAACTGATGTGATAAAAAGCATCCATACCGTTACTGGTGGAAAAAATGAGGATGTTTATAAGTAAAGAAAAATTGGTTTTTCCTTTTAAAACTCTGAATTGCTAAATGAAACTATTCTGTTAATCTCTTCTATGAAATGTATCTGGGGAAATCACATAACCAGTGTTTTATTCTTGAATGGCATTTGTTATTTTCTAAAGGTTGAGAACTCGACTTCACTTTTTATTTATGTACTTTTAGTTGTGATTTCCCAGGTGTTTATGAAGCAACATGGAAAATATTCTACCACAAAGCACATTAACTCCTGGTTTGTTCAGATGAGAATAGTTGCTTTTAGAAAGGTATCACTGGACTTACTTCTTTGGAAAAAGTAACTAGTTGCAGTAGTTGCTTGCCATTTGCTGTTGAGATGAGTAAGCTGGTAATATGAAGTGTAGCATATCTTTTCCCTGACACCACATCATTTTATTACTTCCAGGCCACTCTTCCCTTGAGCAGTTCTGTACTCAGCCTCACAGCTAAATTGATCCTAGGCACAGTTTTTTACTTCATTCCTTCCCACAGTATTTACCCTAAATTTCATATGCCAGCCCTCTCTCTTTTCCCTTCTACCACTTTCAGTGGATCTTTCCTCCCTAAATTTCCAACAAATTGACTCAGTGAACCAACTGTTTCTTACTCTGTGGTCTGATTAAACTGATGCCCAGTTTATAAAATTGGGTTTTTTTCCAAATAATTGTAACTGGAGAAGTTTGAGTGTATTTGGTTAAAGGCAAATTCATACCTGTGAAAAAAAGATAATAATTTTATACTTGTTGTACATTTAATTTGCTATTTCAGTTGAAAAGAGTAAGATTATTAATAAAAACAGAGGATAGTGCTGTTGAAAATATTACAATATATAGCTTTAATTACAATCAGATAATACTCTGAAAAAAGTTGAGTATCATAATAGATAAACAGAATGTGAGAAATTTCTTGTTTTAACTGAATTCATTCATCCAGAATCTAACAGTGGAGCAGAAAGCCTTGTTTTGCATTCAGAATTATTTGTGGGTATTCCAATAAGTACAAGATTGTCAGGATGTAATAGCACTCCAGTACTTCATCCTTTCCCCAGAAATACTTGGGAGTCTACTTCCCATTCTAGTAGTGAAGCTGGAATGTCAATCAGATGGTGAGATCTGGTCACAGGGAATGAAAATTAAAAGGAATAGGTTACCTTCTAAATGCCTCATCTGTACTATTGGATAAAATATCCGAAGCAGGAGAGAACAGGTTAAATTCTCCTTGCATAGTAAGAAGAACAGAGAGGTATATCATGTGGATCAAGTGAGGCACTCTGCATATGTGTGTGTGTGTTTTCAAGGGTGTTTCTGAGACTATTCTGGTATGGCAAGACTGTTTCTGGATACTAAGTACTTCCAATTAGGCAATCTTAATTGGCTACTGAATCACTGATTTCTGTTTTCTTACCCTCATGGTTCACTGAATTTTTATGAATGTGTAAGGAAATGGACAAATAGGCAAGCAATATCAGAAAAATTTAAGTAATTTTCTGTTCACGTTTAAAAAAAAGGAAAGAAATCATGTTTGCTTATATGTCTGGAATCTTCTTGTTGGAACAGGGGTGTGGGAGGGTATGGGTGTGTGTGTACAGTAATGATCATATTGCAAAACCTACAGTGCTGCCTTATCAGATTGACTACATTATTTTAATTTAAGTCAAATGAGTTGCTTCTGCAAATTTTCTGTCTATGCTATCTGTAACAAAATATGTAATGTTTCACAAATCTGTGAGGATACAGACTAATATTTTCATTTTGCCATACCATCATTTGATGTACATCTACCATTGACTACTATAATGTAGGAAGTAAGGCATGTGTGGTAAGAGGCTAGAAATCTAAATCAAGGTTGCAAAAAAATTATCTTGGAGTTCTTTTGTTATATTAAATATACATTTGCATATGAGATCATGATTTTCATTAACACTAACATGCTTATTTTAAATGGAAATCTGGAACATCACTGCAGTTATTTTGCACTTAGGCAATGTGAAGTTTAATGTTTTTACTACATTATGATAAATTTACTTTATGATTTAAAGTTTTTTAGATTGGGTACTAGCCAAATGAAAGTGGTGTATGTTTTACTTTTGGACATTGATAATTAGGAAAGTCATAGGCATTTTTGGCATTGTGAACATATTTATAAAAGCATAAAGTATTTATGTTAACATAAATACATCAAGTATTAATAATACAGAAACAAATAGTGTAGTATTGGCTGGATGCTCAGAGGAAAGATGGGATTTAAGCATTTTGCTCTGCATGTTGAAATGTATAAAGCATGGGAAAATGTGCTAACTCATACTGTGCATACTATGCTATTTTGACCTATGTGATGTCAGTCATTCTCTTTCATACAGATATGGCATGCACCTTTCCTTTCTTTTTTTACTAACCATGCATGTTTTATGGAAAATATTACTGTACTTCAGTAGAAACTATTTTCAGACAGAGATGCATGCTTGCATCAATAATATCTCTATAATTATTATTGTTATATAGTTAGAAATTCAAAACCATTGTTAGGTTGTATATTCTTGATTTATGATGAATGCTTTGTACCCTAGTAAGTTACTGTGTTAATTCATGTATAGAACTGGGTTTTTTTCTTAATTGATTCAGACATAATCTCATTCTTTATATTGTACTTACAAGAATATTTTACAGTGAGTTATTATGTACTACCTACAACTACCTGAAAGGAGGGGGTTGGCTTCTTCTCCCATACAGCTAGCAACAGAGCAAGGGGAAATGGCCTCAAGATGCACCAAGGGAGGTTCGGGTTGGATATTAGGGAAAATTTCTTCACTGAAAGAGAGGTTAAGTATTGTAACAAGTTCCCTAGGGAAGTGGTGGAGTCACCATCCCTGAAAGTGTCCAAACAGTGAGTAGAAGTAGCACTTTACAGTATAATTTAGTGAACATAGTGGTATTTGGTCAAAGGTTGGACTTGAATGATCCTGGAGGTCTTTTCCAACCTTAATGATTCTATGATTCTATTATGAGTTAGACAGCATGGTTAACATGGGTTCTGAAAAATAGGGAAAAGTATAAATAGCCAATGATGCCAGAGGATCAGGTCAAGTATAAGCTAAAGCTTGCCTCAATCCTCTGTATAGATGAGCAGAGTTCTGGGTGATGAGGAGGCATATTTTAAACCTGTTAAAAGTTATGGCATATCAAACTGTGTAAGTGGTTGTATCTAAATGCCATCTTATTCTGATTCTGAAGTCCTGAACTGAATTTAAAAAAAAAAAAAAAGAAAAAGGAAAGGGTTGAACTGCCTGCCAGATATCTGCAATCAAAAGTTTCAGAAGTTGATAAGAACACTGGAGTTCTGAGTTTCTAAAAGTATTAGGACAAAACCTAGTTTTGTTTAGAGCTTTGCTTTTTTACAAATGCTTGAATATATTGTATTTATTGATGTCCTATATTTTTGAAAGACTACCAAGAAAACTTTTCAACAATTCACTGGAAAGATAAAAGCGAAAGTGAATTGTCAAAATTAAAATGTCATCTACCAGCTGGAAACACTTAATTGCCTATTAATACTAGTGTAGTATTTGCAAGAGCTTTGTGGTGTTAATTCCAGGGTTACATCTGAACCATTTAAGGACATAATCATGTGGATGTGGACTGGGAATGTCCCCATGTAGGGGATAGAATAAGCTGATCTGCAGTTGTTTGCCATCATCACACATATCATTGCTGCTGTGGGGTAGACTGCTACATCTTTATTTGATTGTTCTTCCTGTGGGTGTTCATATATTCTAAAGCAAATGTTAAGAACGCAGTGAAATTATTTTTTAATGCTTCTTGGCAGCATGCTGACTGCCAGGCTGTTATGGGTACACTGCTTTTGGTACTAACATCTGTGCATTAGTTTAAAAACACTAATAGTTTTTTGCAGCCTGCAGTGTTAGCTCTATGATTATTTTATTAATTGTTAGTCCTTCTTCAGATTTTCAGTGTACTGTGTCAAATTGGGCCCTGCTGAATTGTGTATGGCTCCTCATCCTTGTAACAAACTGCAAAGTTTAAATTGCATAATCAGGGACTTAGTTAGAAGTGTTTGTAGTGGCCACTCTGTGTTCACTTCTTGTCAAATAAGTGCCAAAGCAAAGATCTCTTGTACTATATGTAATTGACCTAATATGCTTGTAAGGAATATTTACGTGCTGCTGATGGTACATTTTATCACCATGCAAAAGAAGCAAATATAATGTGTAGGTAATACACATTATAACCTGTAACAATGTTTGATTACTAGAAAATAATTAATTATAAGCAAATTAAAATGTGTGAAATAAAAATAGAAGATAAGTATGATATTTTCCATGTTTCTTGTGATATCAGTTTACTCTTCCAATGTGGATTCTCATGATTAGACAGTCCTCTGATATACCCCAGCTCCAGCAGAGCTGTAGACCAGGGACTTCACGTTCTAATAATCCCTTGTTAATGGGAAAAAACCCTATGTTCCAAACTTTTGCCTGTACTGTCTGCATAAATACATATACAAAAAGAGAAGTAACATTCTTCTATTTTTGATAGCTGGAAAATATCTAGTTCTGTAACAAATACATTGAAGATATATAAATTTTGACAGATTTTCAAAATGAAGGCAAAATATAAAGAACTTGGGTTAATTACTTTGAAATGAATGCATTTGGTGGGTTTTGGCATGTTCTATTGCTGAGCTTATATCTCCTCATTATTTATTTAAATAATGAAAGACCATCATCTAAATTCACCTTTTATCACAACCTGATCAGTTTTAGGAGAACTTACGCTTAGAAATGAGAAAGCTCTGAAACTAGCTATGTGGGGACAGATTTCCCAATTGTGGTAGCCTTTCAGACAGACTAGGTAAACCTCTTCCAAAGATATTATTCATACTAAAGTTATAACTGCCTTCACACAAGGGAACAGGCAATCTGTCTTCTTGAGTTGCTTTCAGAGAGACATTTATGCATCTTTTCTCCCTGATTGAAATACCATAGAAAATCCCAAATTTTAGCTATCTGCTTGCTCCACAGTCTCCCACTGGCTTCTCAGAATAAATGTGTGAATCATCTAGATAATTTTATCTTTAGAATTGTATAACATATTGTTTTGTTAATAAGTTCAGTGTGCTTAAACAATGCTTTTGTAGGTCCTGTATTCTTAAATTTTATTGTTTTCTGTTTTGTGATGTGTCATTTCTTCCCCATCTTAGTGTCTCATATCTGTATTTTTCTTTCTGCCATCAATTCAGTCATTATGTTACTTTACCTCGTTCCTGGTATACCCAATCCACAGATCACCATTACAGAGATGTCAGGTACATGTTTTCCTCTGTGTGACTATGTGTGGATAATGCATGTACCTCTATGTACCCACATCTCCATTTCTGCTTTTGTTAGTCTGTGTAGAGTGGTAGAAAACTTAGAAGTGTTGAGTTAGTATCAGCATTAGCTTTCTTAATATAGTGTGTGCACAAACACTGGGCAACTCTTCATGTGTTTCGCTCCTTGAATATCTTTTCCCTGCCAATAGTCTATAATTGGTGGTCCATGAAGATGATGCTTAATTTATATCACTCTTTTAGTAAGTAAATAAAGAAAATTATTTACATCAGCAAGCACTAATACCTGCCAATACTGTGATTTTAATATACAGAATGTCATACATGTACAGCTGTTAAAGGTTACAGTAAAACCGGAGTGTGATACTGTTCTCATAGTCTTGTAGCTCTTGTAGCTGGAAGGCAAAATACTTTAATTTTTAAAAGCATTTTTGTAAAATTCACCAAAGTTCCAGCTGTGTTTTGTTCCAGTGTTTTGTTCTGTGGCTGACATTGCTTGCTTTTCATGTTGTTTTTCCCTCGTTTCATCTTTTTGTTGCTTTTCATTGTGTTCACCCATTATGTTTTGGCAGCCAGGATCACACAATGTATCCTCTGTTTTGTGAAGACGCAATCAGATTACTCCGCTCCCGTAAGATGTGCCGTACCTATTCTGAGGGTGCTTACTATGATCTTGAGAGGTATAACTGATGTGGAGCATATCGTTAGCTCTGCCACTTAGACATTGACAGTACCATGTTTGATTTCCAAACTGAGAATGTGATCTATGTTTTAAGTGATAAACACATACAGTGAATATGTTTTGTAATGCTCGGAGTTTGTATGCATCTAAAACTGACTACTCAGGGCTATGGGTAAATCCCAAGAGAAGTTCAATAGCTTTACAGAAGCCAGTTTCATAAATTAGGTTATATGGATATTATATGTCTGTGTCTTTTATAACCCTTATTTTTGCTGGAATTTTCCAAAGTGCTTATAGCATTTATTATTCTCTTTGAAATAATAAGGAAAAGCCTATTGACTTCAAAGAACACAGAGATAGAGTCTTTCTGAAATCCCATACTTTGCTTAACTGAAAAATAGGGTGAAGAGTAAAAGTCTATGCTTATGTAAGCTTATGTTGTAGATATTTGTATACCGCATATTCTGTAATTTCTGAGGACTTATATGCATTTACAATGCCTATGTGTGACTGCAGAACATCATAGTTCCTATTTACACATTAAATATATGCCAGAGAGAAGTTGAGACTATAATAACTTATAAGAAAGAATTAGCCACTTGAAATACAGTGGCTTTTAGGAGGTGCTGTTGTAGTATTGTGATTAAGATATTTTCAGAAATATTGCAAACCAGGAAAAAATCTACATAGTTGTGCATGAATAGAAATAAGGATATCAATTTGATAAGCTGTGAGCCAGCAAATAGGAAGTGGTGGCTTCAGATCTCAAAGATCAGATATAATGGTTGACATAGGTATCACTTTACAAGAGAGCCTGTGTAAAAATTTCCAAAGCAAGGAGTAAAGAACTCTTGATGTCTTCCCTCTGGATATGAGTTCCTCTGAGAAATTCATTAAGGTTTGTTCTGGATTCAGAGCACGTATAATCACATTTTCAGTAAATGTAAAATTACTTTTGGATGCAGAAACAAAATAGAATCTAAAAATTCCTTCCAAAGAAATACTTCTTTTTAAAAATTCTCCAAAGCTATAGTATATTAGACATTATAACCTTTAGGACTCAGTCAAGCATTTGTTTTGGAATGATGCTGTTTTACATGAAACTTAATATAAAGAAAATGAGTAAATAGTTCAGTCCACATGTAGAAACTTTGTTAAGGAGAGGGATTTTTGGTTTGTTTTCTGAAAATATGTGATGCAATGTGCTCATAAGTGTACTGTTTTAATAATTCATTTTCATATACAGTTTTTTGCCTTAGATACTCATATTTGCACCAGTTTCTCTGAACCTGTTTTAGACTGCTGGTTATGTCTGTGGCTGTTCAGATATTAGTGAAAGTTATCAAATTATTTTAGTTTGAGGATCTTGACTTGTGAATCTTAATCTTTGCTTCTACAGAAATTAATATCTCAAAAATTAAGTAAAAGCAATGAAAATAAAGGGCAAAAGAAGAGAAAGCTGGGATTTAAGCAGTGAAATGGGGTAAATCTTTTCCAGGGCTTTATTGAACAGAAGGCTATTAAAGCTAATTCCACTCGGGACCTGAAAGGAAAATCCAACATGAAGTGGAATATTTCTAGCTCAATGTTAGAATAGTATCTTGGGGCCTAGGAACAGATCCTGCATTCTATGGTCTTTTTGAGTCCAGGCTGCCTGTGGGTAACATTAGTGTTCAAATTACTTGAGTCATCTTACCAGATATGAACTATGAGTACCTCACAGCCACTATCATATTTCCTAGTTTTTCATCCCTTTTTTCTTTCTGTATTCTGACAGCAATTTTCTAGGAATTTAAGGACCACTTCAAGCATAATCTTAATCTAGTTTCCCCCTATATATTGAAAAACACTAAAAAATTTCCTCTTGCTTCTTTTTGTGGGAAATACCTGAAAATGTACTTTTAAAACAGTATTTCCTGGTTTATCTTTGCACTTTTCTCATTATGCACATTTAAACTTCAAGTAAGTTTAATGCTTGCTTCAAAATACATTATTTTATATTCAAGATGTTTGTCCTGTTAGTCCTATCTTTTTAGTTCCAGCTACATTATCAATGTCATGTTGATATCAAGCAACTACCTCTCTTCCTGTCTTTCACTTTAGTAAGCATGTGAAATAACTTTCCAGCTTCTACTATTCATTAAAATAACAAACGTTATTCTGTACAGCCCAGCATTCAGAGAAGAGTCTCTCATGTCACCATGAATCCACCAGTATGGGTGTCCTGCAGGCAAATATGTCATATAGATATATTAGTCGAAATTACTTGCCTTCTTTGTTATTCATAGCTCCTTTTATTGCTTATCTTGTAGTCATTCATAGTCAGCCTATTAAATCTTGTGGTCTCTTCTAGCATTTTTTTCTCTCCCTCCACCCCCAAAAATGACTGCTCAGTTCTTTTTCATCTATTCTATGCTGAATTTTGTTTCAGTTATTGTTTATCAGATAGGACAGTCTTCAGTTCATTAGTTCTAGGACACATTTACATTATCAAAAACTGTAATTTCTTAGGGTATTCTTAGGCTATGACATTCATCATTTTGTCTTTCTCATAGTTCATTCCCTTTGAAGAAGTCAAGCTCTTTTCCTCCCAAAAGAAATAGAGGCAGGATTGACAAGATACTTACTCCACCATATGCCTAAGAAAAGCAATTGGCACATGTGCAGCTTTGGTGATTTCTGTGCCCTTTCCAGTCAGGGCTTTCTCTAGATCATCCTGTTGCTCAATATCCCACTCCAAATTTCCTTGACTGTTGAATGTGATAGTCAGCATGGCAGCACTACCTGGTATCAGTCCACGCTGCTGCAGCTACTCAGTTTGGGCTTACACAAGATATCATAGCTGGAAGTGTTGAGCTTTACTTGTGCTTTTATTTGTACCCCTCAAATCAGTATCCTGTAGAGAAACACACTAGTTCATACATTGGCTGTCACCTAGTTTAGATTGGGTGACACACACGTGATCTCTATGACAGAGTAATGTTCTCAGAATTCTTATCCCAATTGTTTTAAGAATGGAAATATTAGAAGTTCCTTCCAAATACAGATTTGCTGAACATGTCACTGCATGAAATTCTTTCCCAGCTTACCTGTCTCGGAGCTCAGTGTAGACCCCAAGAACACCACAATATGCGCCATTTGTTTTTTTCACTTAGCCTTTGAGGTTAGTGTTTGTAAGTGAATAAAAGCTGGTTTATGTATATTTTGTGCTGAATGTGAGGTTTATTTCAGGCAGAATTTCTCTTGTTTCACTTAAGGAAACAAAATTTTGCTTCCATATTTTTTTCTCACTTTCATTTTTCTAGTCAGAAAATTTCTAATATCTATATCTTATTTTGGGTAGAATTTCTCAGTTGCTGAAGTATTAGTTTTCTACCAGTGTAACATTTTACTCCTATGAAATATGTGTGCATTGATCAAGAGTTCTTAATATGTTGTTAATTATTTCTGTATATAATTTGAAAGTAGAAGCTGAAAGTTACAGATACATGAAAATATGTTCAGAACATACTGCTGAACTGTAGATAAATGTGCTCTTCTTCATCACATCTTAATAATACAGTGAGGGAAAACATAATGAAAGGAGCATCCTTTAAAATGTCTGAAATGTCTGTGCTGTTTATTCCATATTTAGGAGGACTAGGCAGGAGAGAAGAGTGCCTATTTCATATTATGATGACACAGCCTATACTCCTGAAAGGTATTTTAATTTATATAGTCAAAATAGATAAAGTTGAGTAGTTTTTATGTAGTCTAAATTTTTTAATTGGCCCAAACTAATTATATTGAAATTTACAGTGCCATATTTCTCTAAATAGCAAACAACCAATCTCCATAGTTTTAAATACCTCATTTTCTTTTAGCCCTCCATTAATTTGACTTTGGATTTTTTAAGCGTTATTCTTAACTTGAAAAATTTCTTATTCATTAGATGTGGGAGGAGAACTCAGTAGTACAGTGGAGCTTAGGTACAACTGAAGGGTTTTTTCTCCACTTAACTGCACCAGAATTCTAGTGGCTAACCTTTTCAGTCACTAGGATTGATTATAGGACAATTAAGAACCCTCAATTTTATTCTTTCAGTAACCTGAGTCACTTAAAAGGTGCTCAGCTTTTAACATGTTGCTGCTCATGTTGGCTTAAAAAAGGACTAAGCCAGGGCCTTCAAATTGATTTTGGGTGCTTGTTGTGCTAGGATCCAAAGTACTATTGTTCTTCCTAAATTCTGATATACATATAATGTATCACAGTTACCATAATATTGCTAAAATCTGATATGTAATCTGAAGAGTTT